CATTTCGCCGCTGATGTCATGACGAGGTACGGCCAGCTTGTGTTGGTATTGCGTGAGGTTGTGTCTTCCTTTACACTGACATGCTTTGTGCAAAATGAGAGACACCATCAGCTCAGGATCCCCTCCTCATGCTGACAGCAGATTTCAAGAATCTTGGCCCTGATGGATGCACTATTAGAGATCTAAAACATGCAGGACAAGTGATCCTCCAAGACAGGTTTAAGAAGCACTGACTTAAATCAGGTTTCTTCCCCATTCTGATGCTTGGTTTGAACTCCAGCAGATCGTCTTGACCATGTCTCAAGCCTAAATGCATTGAGTTGCTGCCATGTGATTGCCTGATTAAGATATGTGCATTAATGAGTAGTTGAACAGGTGTACCTAATGAAGTGGTCGGTGAGTATATGAATGCAGTATTTGACCCCTTCACAATTTTTTTCTATTATGCATATTTGTCACACTTAAATGTTTCAGATCATCAAACTAATTTTTATGTTAGATAAAGATAACCAAAACAAACACAAGGTGCAATTTTTTTTTTTTTTTTTTTTAATTAAAACTTGGCATCTCCAATCTCACCTGAATCTGGAATGCCCAATTGGGGAACTATGTACAAGCCCTGCTCGAATGCGACCCCTTTTTGCCAGTTCAGGAGAGAGGGACGGTTCACGGCTCTCCTCCGCAGCATGTGCCCATCAACTACTGCTTCTTTACACTCATTGGTTGAATCCTAGCAAGTTCAGAACGAGGACGGAGGATACCCGAACATGAACAGGCTTAGAATCTTCCTGACGAGCGCCCGGCTGGCCAACAGGAGGCGCTTGAGCAACGAACAAAGCAACCATTTCATATTTCCCTTCCCAGCAGTCCCTTCCCAATTTGCATCCCTGTAGCGCAATGGCCAGTTGTGCGCTACTCTGAAAAAGCTGCCGACCACTGCCGGTTGGTACAACCGGGGCTCGAACTCCTGCCGTGATAGTCACTTCTGCTCCGCAATGCGGTGCTTCAGCCTCGTGAGCTATCCGGCAGCAGTGCAATTTTTAAAAAATTATTTCATTTTAAAAAAGCCATCCAACCCTACCAGGCCTGAAGTAAGCAAAAAAAAAAAAAGGAACTGCCTCCTTAGTTGCAATCAACCAATTAAAAAAATGTAATTGATCATTGGGTTCAGTTTCACAAGATTCACTCAGACTGATTCTGATTCTGAGTCCGGTTGAATCTAAAAAATCACTTAAAGCAATTCTTACCTTTCTGGCATTTTTACACTTTTCTTTTGTAATCTTAAAATGCTAGCGTATGGCACACTAAAATGTAAAAGAAATCCACCAGGTGCTGAAACTCATCAATATGCAATTCTCATTTATTTCTGATAAAAGTCTGACCAATAATTTTATTCGGTCCAAATAGTTATAAAATGATTTGCCGAGCTTCCTGGCTGTCATCCGTCGCCGCCTCCCTTCCAGTTGCCTGCCGCTGTCACCCGCCGCTGCCGAAAAACGACACATTTAACTGTAAACAAACGGGCGCTGAAATGCTATAATTACGATAATAACGTTAATGGTAGTTCGTCAGACTACAAAGGTAACTAATCGTTACAGGGCATTTTATTTTATACCACATATAGAATTGAATATTATGTAATCACTGTTGGTTAGTTTTCACTTACCAGTGCCTCTGAACCTGACTCCATTGCCCCGTTTCACTGGCGCTGCTCACTTTCTCACCGCACGCGTCAGGGGAGGAGGGGAGCATCAGAGGTCAGGCAGGGGGAAGAGGGAGGGACTTTGGAGGGAGGCGGAGTTTTTCATGTTCAAATTTTTACTAAGTGCTGTGTGACATGCCAGAAAGGTAAGAATTGCTTTAAATAGAGCCTGTCTGGTAATCTGAAGAAGGCTAAAAGCAGCACATGGTGCCATGACTTAAAGAAATTCAAGAAAAGATAAGGAACAAATTCATTGATATCTATTAGTTTGGAAAGGGTTATACAGCCATTTTTAAGGCTCTGGAACTCCAGCAAACCACAGTGAGAGCCATTATCTATAGATGGGGAAAACTTGGAACAGTGCTGAGCCTTCCTATGAGTGGCTGGCAAACCAGGATTCCTCAGAGTGTATATCTACGACTAATCCAGGAGGTCACAAAAGAACTGAGACGAACATCTAAAGACGTGCAGGCCTCAATTGCCTCATTAAGATTAAGTGTCAGTGTTCGCAATTCCACTGTAAGAAAGAGACTGGGCGAAAATGGCCTCCATGGGAGAGGTCCAAGGAGAAAACCACTGCTGACCAAAAGGAACGCAAAGGCTCTTCTTACATTTGACAAAAAACATCTTCTATGGACTGAAGAGTCAAAAGCAGAACACATGGAAGGCATGTATCCCTTACATCCGGTGTAAAGTTGACACAGCATTCCCAAATCAGAACATCATATCAACAGTCAAACACGGTGGTATTGTGACGGTCTGGGGCTGCTTTATTGCTTCAGGACCTGGGCGTCTTGCCATTAATGTAATCATGAATACAGCTCTCCACCAGGCAATCCTGAAGGAGAGTGTCCAGCCATCATTTCATCACTGATCGCTGCAGCGCAGTCTGGTTATGCAGCAGGGCAATGATTTGAAGCACATGAGCAAGTCCACCTCTGAACAGCTAAAAAGAAACAAAATGAAGGTTTAAGAGTGGCCTGACCTGAATCTGATTGAGGTGTTGTGGCATGAGCTTTGACAGAGAGTTCATGCATGCAAACCATCCTATGTGGCTGAATTAAAATAAGTCTGCCAAGAAGAGTGTGCCAAAATTCCTCCACAGTGATGTCAAAGACTCGCAGCCTGTTATTTTAAGTATGTGATTACAGTTGCTGCTGCCAAGGGTGGTACAACGCGTAAATTTTGGGTCATTCTTTACCTTCAATAAATAAAATGGTCATTTAAAAGCTGCATTTTGTGTGTGCTCAAGTTGTGTTTGTTTCATTTTAAAATTAGTCAGATGATCTAAAACAGTGTTTCCTAACCCAGTCCTCGGGGCACACTGGTCAGATCCAGGTATTTGTTGCGGTCCTCCTGAAGCTCACCTGATGTAACTTATCAAGCTCATGATTACCTGCTTTAGGAGTGCTTAAGGTGGAACACAACAAGTACCTGGATCTGACTGGTGTGCCCCGAGGACTGGGTTGGGAGACACTGATCTAAAACATTCAAATTTAATAAATAAGCAAAAATATAAGAAATCAGGAAGGGGGCAAATAGTTTTTTGCAGCACTGTACATGCACAAGAGCTACGGAGGTGATCCCATCTGGTCCAAACTGACCGAAGGACAACTGTTGCACAAGTCACAAAAATTTTTTATGTTATTTACTAAGGAATGTGTCACATAACTTTATGTATTGTACTGTGTGTCATCTCTAGCTTTGTAGCTGCAGACCAGTCAGAGTGCCCATTTTAACCCTGGTCCACCATCGAAAGAGATTACAATGAGTATGTGTGCGTCAGAACTGAACCATGGAGCAACTGAAGAGGGTCTCTTTGTCCCATGAATACCGCTTTCTTATACATCATTGTCAGTTATGTGTGTACAATTTACCTGGGAAGATATGGCACCAGGGTGCACTGCGACAGGAGGATAAGCTGGTGGAAGGAGTGCGATTCTCTGGGAAGTGTTCTGTTGGGAAACCTCGGGTCTGGGAATTCAAGAGGATGTCACCTTGATGGAGCTGTACTTGCGGCACGAAGGGGACCAACTCAATATTAGGCAGGTGGTTTTAATTTTGTTGCTGATTGGTGTATATATTTATGTCTCCCAGAAACATAGCGTAGAGCATTACGAGCATTGCATAAGTAGCTTTCCATTATCTGAGGCCTTGAGAATAAGGTGTGTGGACTCACCATATCCTGACTGCTGGTGCGAAGGACACCAGCCTGAGATGCTGCGAAGTCCAGGACTGCAGTTTGACGACTGTGATCTTTCGTACCCTGTTTCCGCCGAAATCTCTGCCTTTGCTTTGTAAAAAGTGCACTGTACACACAAGCACTCAGAATTCATAAACACAGCGGAGTGAATGCACTGGTGTTGAGGGCCGCTGCATGTCTGGATAAGAGTTTGTTGTACATGTGCTCCGCGTTAACCTGCGGGCAGAAGGTTTCGGCGAGGGGAAGTCTGAACTGCAAGCTGATTTAGAGGCTGAGACTCGGAGATGAAGTCTGCGTAATGCGGAGGGACGGGACTAGAGCTTCCTCTCGCTCTTTGGAAAAGGTTATTTTTCTTTTTACTGCCAGTGGCTTTTTAGAGAGAACATGTCTGTGTTTGATAACATTTTGACATTTGACAGTTTGTTCAGACCAATCTGGCGCCTCTCTCCGTTTTTCGAGCGGCCCTGTCAGGCTCCCGACGGCCATCAAAGGCAGCCTCTGACGCACCAGACGATCCCCTCCTCCAGTCTTTTCCACTCTTTTATGACGCTAAGCTGGCTTGTCGGGACGCGCCAAGGAACGCTGGCATAGTGCTGGCACCCTGGCGACGTCAAGTGCCCCGCTTTGTAATGTCAAGGATCCCCAAATTCTGGGCTGACACCCCATTTCAGCGCCCCTTTTTCCCCGGCCTGTTCCCTCGGGGCTTCATCCTGTATGGGGACGGACCTGCGTGTTACCCAGTCAGAACTGATTTCTCAATTTAGCGCTTATTCATTTTACATACTCTGAGTTCTGTGAACGTTTTTTTCCCTCTCCTGTTCATTCAAATTTAAACAACGGATAAGATTGAATAGATAAGATATACTTTATTGAATCCCGTGGTATAACTTCTTCTCCGCATTTGACCCAGCAGTAGGTATCCACAGTACAGTGCCCAGGGGCGAACTCTAGTACTAAAGTCAGAGCCTTGGTCAGGGGCTACTGGTAGGAGTGTTCCTTTATAAATGTGTTTTTCTACAGTGGGGATAAATGGTGAATGCAGAGGTAACCCACGCAAGCACAGAGAAACCGTACAAACTCATCAGAGAGAGGTCCTGCCAGCTGAGGCTCAAACCCAGAACCTCCTCATTGTAAGGTAACTGTGCTAGCCAATGCACCACTGTGCCATCATATAAGGATTACATGTAGAATTTAGGCTTTAAATTCTGAGTACTTCCAGATACCTCCATAATTCATTGGACAGAGACACATTTTTTATTTTGGTTCTGTGCTCTAGCACTTGGAGTTTGAAAAGATACAGTGAGAGTGAAGTCAATATGCAGACTGTTTGCTTTAATTTGAAGATGTTTTCATCAATATCATGTTATATTTGTGTAATGTGCATTTCTTGATCATTTAACCTCTCTACTGGTCAAAAGGGATTTCTGTCAGCTGTGGCTTGCTGATAGAGTGACATTATTCATACACTTGCTGAAGTCTTTTTTTTTTTTTGAAGTCTTAACTGTAACCACAGACATGGTGAATAAACAGTTAATACAAAAGATGTGTGCTATTTTACCAGGAATTGTTGTTTAATTTTTTGCAATTTTGTTTTTAGTTTATTTGCAAAAAATTAATCAAGTGCTACTGTATAGCCGGAAGAAAATTGATCAGTAAAAAGGGGCAAAAATTGCATTTTGTGCCTCTTCCTGTTCTCTGAATCTCATTATATTTTGACGGAGATTTGAAATTTCATAGTGTGAGAAATATTCAAAAATAGAGAAAATTATAAATGGCGCAAATACTTATTGGAGCTCCACACAATTATGTGTGAAGTATGTTAGCCTCCACACCTGCGGGGTTTGAGTGCCCAGCCCTGAGGATTACAGTATTTCCTGACTGGGCTGCGTACTAAGCCAAAGTAAGTTCTGGAAAACATCTCTCTTTGCCCCTTTTTAAACACCCTGTCAATAAAGGTCCTGAGAAACATCACAAACTCTGAGAGGTGATGAGTTTGAGGTGTTAATCTATGACTTCAAGCAGAAAGTTTTGGACCTGCATGATCACCAGATTGTCTAAAAAAATTACAAGTTAGCGTGTATCTATGGGTAATGAAAAATGCGATTAATGCCATCACTTTCAAAATCCAAAAAAAAAAAAAAGAAAAAAAATCCTTATTTAAAAGTTCTGTAATTTTACAGTGCAGTATTAATCAAGCCTTTATGCTGTCTTGAACTTTAGAATCATGGACCATTATCTCATTAATGACTGAACTGCAAAGATAAAAGGTGATAAATATACAAGGATAGTTAGGACAGGGTACAGTTGTGGCTTTTATAAATGTCAATATTTTTATGAAATTTGCAGTTGAGATACAGAACCTATCGAGAATAATATGAATTGTCTGAGCAGCTTATCAGTACTATAAGAGACTGGTCTTCTGGATTAATTTATTATAAATTGCTCATTAATGTGTTCATATACTCATAGTTGTCAGCATAATGACCACTTTCATTTGACTTATAATTTCAATGGCTGACTGGAGGAATACAATTTATTAAATTCAATCCAAGTATACAGAATAATCTTCTAAATTCAGTTTGGAAACCTAATGTAATTTGAAAACTTGCTGCAGTTTGTTCTATTTCTGCACGGTAGCATGTTCAGAGTTAAATGCACTCTCACAGAGTCCAATGGAATCAAATGAACCTCAATCGCAGCATTTGGCTCTGTGTAAGTGTGGTGTTCACAAAAAGTACAACTATCCAAAACAGCAAAAAAAAAAAAAAAAAAAGGTAACAATCAAACACATTGCTTCTTTCACTTTTATGCTTAGTTCCCACTGTTGTGCGCTCCGCTACGAACGACACGATTGGCCATTCGTAGCTGATCATGGAACTTCTCTGAAGCTGCTTTCACACCGGATGCGAAACAAATTTTTTGCACGACAGATCCCATTCAAAGTCAATGCAAAGACGCAAATGCACGCGAAAACCTAGGTTCCCACTCTCGCGATTGAAATTGTGGTCTTTAATCGTGGAGTAATCGTGGTGACCCTATCAGATCTTATCAGATCTTGAGGTCAGTCGTGGCAATCGTGGTGATCATAGAAAAATTTTGGACAGTTCAAAAATTTCCTGCAATCATCATGATTAGTTGTCAATCGTGATCATCGCATCACCTAGTGTCCAAACCTGAAATTTTAAGCCGCTTTCGCATTGGATGCAAAATGAATTTTTCGCACGACAGATTACATTCAAAGTCAATGCAAAGACGCGAATACAGGGTTTTGCTTATATTGGCGTCTTTGCATTGACTTTGAATGTAATCTGTCATGCGAAAAATTCATTTTGCGTCCGGCGTGAAAAGCTGCTTCAGAGAAGCTCCACGATCAGCTACGAATGGCCAATCGTGGCGTTCGTAACAGAGCGCACGACAGTGGGAACTAATGCTGGGTTTACACATAACGACGACAAGTCACGAATGCCACGAATCTAAATTTGTGACTGAGGATCATGAATTTCATGATTCGGGGCAGAGGCATTACGCGTCATTCAGTTCAGTTCTTGACAGCTTTCGTGTCGATTTGTAACGACGCGTGACAGTATGGGCTCCAAGAATGGCAAGAATACACTACGAATGCTGTCACACTCTATTACGATTCACCACTAATCACCACAAATCGACACGCTCAGTTGCGAACTCCATGAATCGAGGGTGATTTGTGACATTCGTGGAAGATTTTTTGGCAGCCAAAAACATGCTCCACGAATATCACGAATGTCACGAACCGACATGCGCTGTTAAGAACCCTATTCAGATGCGTTAAGTCACATTACGAATGTCACGAATGTGCCACGAATAACGGGAAAATGATATTCGTAACGCATCGTGCCTATGTGTAAACCCAGCTTAAGCATTAGAATAGAACACCCTTTGAGCAGTATAGCACCAATTCAGATTGAGGAATATTGCGGAAGCCAAAGATATACTTTAAATTGATGGCTCATTTTTTCATATTTGCTTTCAGGATTCGAATAAGGGTGATGTATGTTATACACAAATTGTTTAAACTGATTCATACGATCACAATATAATTATGTATCAGATCATTGAGTGATGTAGTCTGTATACTCCATTTAACTAATCAGAATTTTAAAATAATTTTTTAAAAGTTTTAAAATAATTGTCTTTGTTATGATTGTTCTTTTCAGATAATCTCATTAAACATAATGTTGAGGGAGGTCATGTTAGTAAAATTATAAGTAATAAAGTAGAGCATATGCTTGATCATGCATAGTCCTTTCTATGTAGCAACTAAAGAATATGTACTTTTTTTAAATTGTTCAGTAAAATATATTTCCATGGCCACTGTGCTGGTTTTAACATGAACCACGCTCGAAAGTAAACAATTATTGTTTTAAGGCAGTGCTTCTGAATTACTGTCTGGTAATGGTAGTGTGAGCATAGGAGGTTGGTGGTTTTCATCTTCTATAGTAATAATAATTTTTAAAAGAATTAATCATCAGCATCATCATAAGCAGACCATACAGATAAAAAAGGGTCAAGATTTTTTTGGACTGAAAAATCATCTGGTTGTTTTTTACAATGCCGCTCCTTCTCGTGATCATGAAAGGCTATTCTGCCTGCATCTCTTAAAAAAAGAATATTCACTCCCATATGTGCTTATATATTCCAGTATGCCACTCAGTGTCTATATATAGAACCATCAAAAATGCCTTTCTTCCTCTAAATTGATTTCAACATATGGGCTCTTTACCTTGTGGCGCTATTTCAACCTTATTTTCCCATGAAGTGCTGATTTCCTTGATCCGTCCTTTTTCAGACTCCTTCCGTGAGGAACGATTCGCTCAGAACGGGCGTCGCTGTGCAGGTGATACGAAGGCCCCTTGCAGCACCGCAGCGATGCCGCTCGCCTCTGATCTCGGTTACAGTTGTGTAACACTTGAAAATAGAACGTTCCTCTTTAGTTTTTTTTTTTTTTCTCGCGTTTTGTCTTTTTTTTTTTTTTTTTGGTGCGAGAGTTACAGTGAGTATCGACTGTTTGTGTTTGTGAGTGTTGCGGAGGCCTGGGGCGTGTGGTCGGGGGAACGTTCATCTTGACACATTTACGCCCCCGCTGTGAACCCCCGCTCCCAGCTCTCCTGTAAGAAGAACAGACACTGCCTTTCCAGTGGGGAGTTTCACAAAAGCAAGCACCCAGATAGCTCTTCCACAGTGTAGAAATGTGCACACACTCTTACACACACACACACACACACACACGGTTACAGTATAACCCCTTTTAGAAGAAAAGAAGCGGCATTTATGCTTTGCTTCACTCTCCAGGGGAAAGCAGGAATGGCTTCACCAAACGTACAGTCCTGAAACTATGTTTCTTTTTATTTCTCTTTTCCTTTCTGTCTTTATTTCTCTCAGTTTCTTTTTTCAATCTCACTCCATTGATTCGAGTCATGATTTCCTGTCGAAATACAGCACAGTATGTAATCTATGTGATATGAATTAAGTTCATATTTTGTAACATTCATAGCATTTCTCTCTGCTCTCTCTCTTACTTCATTTTAAGCAGAACACATTCAAATCCAAAATGCCTTTTAGGAAGGAAACGTAGTATCATAAACACAGTAAGAGCACACAAGTTTGCAATGGAATGCAGGGGATACTAGGGTACAGACAAGCACTCTCAGCCATCTCAGAATTTGATTATTTACGAAACTATCCACATACAGATGGGTGACAAATTAATGGAAAAATCAACGTAAAAAGTCTTAGCATGGTGTTGGGTCTCCACAAGCCGCTAAATCAGCTAAACACACCTTAGCATAGAGTCGACAAGTGTAAAACTTTACTGAAGGGATGGAGTACCTTCCCTCTAAGAAATATTCCCTCATTCGGTGTTTCGATGATGGTGACAGAGAACACTGTAGGCTTAGGATCATTTTCATACTCATAAAACCACTCAGCGACCCTTGTGCCCTGTAAGTCTTGTCCATTGTCATCTTGGAGGAGACCAATCCCATTCGTGGTAGGAATGTTTCATCACAGAGTATAAAGGTGATAACACAGAATAACTGTGCATTGATGTGTAGTGACCCTTCTGCCTTTAAGGGGACGAGTGGACCCAAACCATGCCAGGAAAATAAACCGAAACATCTGCATTTATTA